AATGCACATTTGGTTTGTGGAAGAGGGTGGGGTTAAAGGGCAGCTCAAGTTATCATGGAACAGCAGAAAATGTAGTTACATTTGTTTGAAACTAATGTAAAGTGGGACTAATTCAAACCCACAAGGGAGGGAGCAGATGAGCTTGTTTGGTGCAAGCATGCCTGACTGAAGGATACATTTTTAAAATGAATCAAAGTATAGATCACCTTATTCAAAACAGTTTAAACATAGCTGACCTTAGAAGTGACAGTATCCCCCTCTTACCATAATCAAACCCGCTTTAAGAAATCTAGCTGAAAAGGTTATATTGCTTCATATTATAGGTTGTTATCTGAATTAACCTTCCACTACAAATCAAAGAATGCCAGACTGACATTTTTGTAAGTTAATTAAACACTCTCTGAACAAGCAATCCTTACTCAGAAGCCTTAAGATGTGAAAGTTAGATTATGGGTGACATTTCACTAGATTATTGATAACATAGCTCTAATTAAAAACAACTGTCTTGAAAACAGATTTTTTTTCCCCCCTGTATTTTCCTAACTAAATAAAACTAAAACCCACCGCTTTAGTTATGTGCAGCTACAAGACTTTCTGAATATTTCTGATGCAATCAATGTTACTCCATTCGGAGCCTTTTGGAGCACACTCCACAGATGGCTGATACTGACTGTAAAAGTACGCTGCTTTTGGATGCCTTACCTCAGACCGCAGATAAATACATGCTGGAATGAAAACGAATCTGATGGTATATAGTCACAGTTACCTCTCTCTCAGGTGGATATTACTGTCTACAGAGAAGTGAAATGTGAGAAATATGTTAACAGAAAATGAAAAACAGTTTCTTTCTTTTTTTATTAGCTTATTATTGCTAAGAGCAATAATATTCAGCTTTATATATATTTCTGCAAATAAACATGGATTTAGTTAGACTAGCTGATACTAACGTGTCTCCCCAGCTCCCTCTGGAGGCTGGCACTCACTCTTGTTTTGTAATTTACCATGTGAAAAAGGTTAACTATCAGAGTAAGGATTTTGTTTGTAATATGCTTTCATGGGCAAAGGCTCTAGCCTAAATGCAAACAAGCATGTGGTTTCAGCGGCCAGCTGCAGATCTTTCTCTTTGGTTTCTAATCAGAAAGAAACCTCCCTCCCATTCCACAGCTGCAACATATATAAGGGATCGGGCTCAGGTACTCTTTTTTTCCTTGAATATTTTAGGGGAGGCATTTTTTTGGCTGCAACCCTAAAGAGCATGGAGAGTACTTGGAGAATTTGTGTTTGTTTCTATTGCTGTCTTCACTGGCTTTCTTCTAGCATCCAGTGTTCCCCCCACTCCAGGGGTCGAGTAGTCTCTGACAAGATCTCTGGGTTCTTGGTAGCTCCCGAGGACAATGCCAGTGAGCTAAATCCATTGATACGGCTGCCAAAAGGTGTGAGACGTGGATATGCCCTCCTGCCTCCCCTTCTCAAGGTGCTGTCTGACCGGGGACACCAGAACTGGGAAAGCGAGGCCCCCAGGCTACAGCCAGACTCCAGAGCCCTTCGGTACATGAAGAGGCTATACAAGATGTCTGCTACCAAGGAGGGAATCCCAAAGGCTAACAAAAGCCACCTCTATAACACTGTTCGACTTTTCACTCCGTGTTCTGAATGCAAGCACCGCCACAGGGACCTAATGAAAGGTAGGTGTGGGGTGACCTGAGCTGCAAAGGTTAAGCGGGGGTTTTCCATGTGTTCTGTGCTTGCAGCATAATATATCTTTTTAATCCTGATGGCTCTTCTCTTAAACTGTAGGAGTTTTTCATAACCTACTTCTCCTTGAATGGCATTACACAGACTTCCCCACAGTTTGGGAACTGCCACAGAAATGGTACTGTGTTCAAGATGACACTGATGTTTCAGGCTGACTCATCTTATTATGAGTCAGAGAAAACTCTACAATCAGTTCTAAGTAAGCTAAGAAAAGTGGAAAAAATGGTTAGGTGTAATGGGCGTCACGTTTCCTTCTACTGCCCATCTCGGTTCTGCTTTTTTCAAGGCCGTAAAAAACATAGCACTGTAATGAGACTTGTTACAAACTGCCAGAATCCCATTGCAAGATGACTTTTCTCTTGCCTTGTACGTTTGCTAGGGAAGAATCATGACCCAAACGTGTGAATATCCCTAAGTGAAGAGAACTACTTGTTAATCAGGCTCAGGACTGAAAAACTAGGATGTCTGGGCACTCTCTAACTTGCCATGCTTTCATAGTTTTCTTCAATGCGGGCTGGTCACAGCAACAGCAGCTAGAAAGCCTTGGCCTTTAATTATACTTACGTGACTGCTGACAAGTGATCTGAGTTCTCCTGACTCGGATTTGTTCACTTAGAAAGATAGATAACCTGAAACACAAACAGCATGCTTGTGCACAGTAACAGCACTTTGAGATTGAGGTTCAGTTAAGAAGTATTCACTACGGGAAAATAAAAAGTTTATGACTAAAATTTCCTGGCATAGTATAATCTACTGATTCAGAAATATACTCACAATTAACAGTTAATCTCGTGATTATATATCCTAAATGTAGTAATAATTAAAGTAGCAGCCCAAATCTGAACCAACTTCCTACAATTATTGAGGCTATTCAAGTTCATGATTGTAGAAAAATTTATTAATATAGGGAATATAAGTTTATCAAGGTCTACAGAGCCCTCATCTGATTATTTGGCCTACGTAAGTTTGAAAAGATCACTTAATGCATTTGTGTGGTCAAAAATTAACAATTTCTAATTTACAGAAAAAAATACAGTGGTGAGTAGTAAAAAACCTGATATATTAAACACATGCTATGCCCACATCTGGAAAACAGGCCAGGAAGTGGGTTCATCAATCTCAAAATAAGATGGAAATTGGAGCAAATTCAAAGAATGCCAGAAAAATTCTTAACATCAGGGGAAAAGAGAAGAGTAGTGTATCTTAACAGCAGGGGTGAGACAGAAATGTGCATTCAGAATAACTTGGAAGCTCTGGTTTCTGTTTCATAAAAGAAAAGCAAAGTGACACTCATGAAAGAATGATAATTTTTTTAAGATGTGCTAATAACTAAATTTCTGTCTTGCTATTACTCAGACTTGCTGGCAGCTGCTGGTCAAGAGATTTAAATAGGAGAAAATATACGCGTAGGAAGAATAACTAGAGTTAATGCTAAAAAGCTCTGAAAGCATTCACTTTAAAACTTTAGCTATTTCATTTCATGGCTTGTATAATCTGGAGTGTCTAGTTCTTGTTTCCCCATATCAACACTGAAAAGACAACTTCCTCCTGTTGTTTTTTTTTTTTAATGAAATGAATCCTAATACCTCTTAAAATTGTAGGTTTTCTTGGTTTTGTTGTCATTTCTTAACTTTTAAATCTTATGTCCCTGACCAAAGTAGAAATTCCATATAATAAAAGTAAGGGAGGGCATCTAAATTGGTTTCTTCTGCTGCTGAATTATTTCTACTCACCCACTACGTGACAGTATTTATGTCTAGGTGGAAAATTAAGGTGCACTAACTACAAGATTTTGTTTCCCTTCTCAGGAGACGTTCACTCGGTGGATTTACTCTTCAACCTGGATCGTGTTACTGCTCTAGAGCACTTACTCAAGTCTGTCTTGCTCTATTCTTTTGACACATCAGTTCCCATTTCTTCTTCCATTACATGCATGTGCCATTTATCTGTTAAGGAGCATGATTTTTCTAGCCAAGTATGTCCCAGCTTTTCACACTCTATAGCTTTTAGCCTGCACTTTGAAGTTAGAAAACGCAAGTGGGTTGAGATTGATGTGACTTCTTTTCTCCAGCCTCTAATTGCTACTAAGAGGAGGAATATTCATATGGCTGTGAACTTCACTTGTCTGATGGGTGATCCACAACAGAACACTAAACTGGAAAATCCCATTAATGTGGCACTGGTTCCCCCTTCTCTTCTTCTTTATCTGAATGATACCAGTGAGCAAGCTTATCACAGGTGGAACTCACTTAGACACAGAAGGAAAAACCCGGTGCGGCCCAGGCAAAGGAACAGTCTGCTTGTTGAACCTGCGGGTGACAAAGGAGGAGAGAATCCACAGGGTAAAAGGGCCTCTCGGCGGCGAAGAGATGAGAATCTGAAAGAAGCGCCAGCCACTCCACCTTATAATTTGAGCGAATATTTCAAACAATTTCTGTTCCCTCAAAACGAGTGTGAGCTTCACAACTTCCGCCTAAGTTTTAGCCAACTAAAATGGGACAAGTGGATAATAGCACCACACAGGTACAGCCCTCAGTATTGCAAAGGCGACTGCCCACGGGTCGTCGGGCATCGTTACGGCTCTCCTGTACACACAATGGTACAGAACATAATATACGAGAAACTGGACTCATCTGTTCCGAAGCCCTCCTGTGTTCCTGCCGAATACAGCCCACTGAGCGTCCTAACCATAGAGCCCGACGGCTCCATAGTCTACAAAGAGTATGAAGATATGATAGCTACCAAGTGCACTTGTCGGTAGTGGGTGAACCCTAACTGGTTTTACTCTGGGTTTGGGTATTTTTGCACTCTCAAAGTATCTGTAGCTATAATCAACCGAATAGTGTTTGTGTAATTCTAATAGCTCTATAAAACCGGTTAGGATTTAGCACAGAGTTAGTGGAAGATGTTTACATCATAGCACTTATTTTTGTAGCCACTCAGCCTTTCTGGAATGTGAAATTAAATGTAAATAATATCTTTTTATTGGAATAATTTTGCATTTAAAATGTGGAAAAGGTTTCAACTACCACGTCTATTTTAAGCTGTTTTGTTACAGATTTAAAAAAAGAAATAAATGCCTATCATGCATACCACTTACATTCAATGCCTGCTAGTCTTCCTCTAGATAAAGAAATCTTTTGCGTGACATCTCCAGCAAGTGTCTGGGAAGAGAGGAAAATCTTTAATATTAGAGTTACTTTCTCAGTTTTTTGTTCTTTTTCCCTAGTGCAATTCCAGTTTCCCCCAGACAAGAAGACAACTCTTCCTTATAGTTCTGTACAAGGTGGTGGTTTTTTTTTTCTGTTGCACTCTTTGGGCTTTTTCAACCATGGGTGGAAAGAATTTAAGGACAGCTGTGTGGTAACTTGTAAAAACTGAAATCGCTGAACTATTTGAGTAAGACCCAGCACCAGCTTGCTGGTGAGCTGTTAAAAACAGACATGCTTGATCTAGTTCAAGAACAGATCACAAGCTGTTTGTGGGGTGAGGGCACAGGATTCTACACGTGGAATCACACTGCCACTTGCTTCTGAATTATGACGAAATGGTCGATGCTGTCAGCTTAAAAAAAAAAAGTGCCTTTTAGGAGCCTATGAAATTAATTTAAATGCTGTTAAATTGGTTTAGTAATCTGAAATGTGGGGTCATAGCCTCCTTTCTTCTCGCAATAAAATCGTAGGTAACGGTGCCTTAATTTTATATGCTTTCAAACCAAATTTTTACTGCAATTGACTTTTTTTCTCCTAGACTTTTCTAGTTTTAAGAGTTTTGTCAAAAATGCTGGTTTCAGGCTGGGGACCCAAGCTAAGAGGACTTTAGATGAGGCTCACACACAAACAGCTTTGGTATGGGGTTTTGGTCTTTGGGTTATTTTTTTTTTTAATAAAAGGATGTGGAGCAGCACTGTCTTCTAAAACGCATTAAGAATAGCCTTTAAAATGATGGCTTGCTAACCCATTGATACATAAACGCCTTCACTGTCTCCAGTAAGCCACCTAACCAGACCCTAACCGTAGATCCTGACCTGTGCAATTCCACAGGGCTTGGCTCTGGGGCTGGGAATTCAGCCTGGCAGGGAAAGGCTTGAACCCGAGGGGACCGTGTGGCTTGGTATTACTGTGACGATGGTTCGCCTCGGTCACCGTGAACTAGTCCATGTTGGGATGACACTTCTCCGAGTTTGAAGCGCTCCGTGGAAGTGCGGGACGATCTGGCTAAGGGTCATGTAGCTCCTGTCAAAACGAAGCCCCCGACCGAAGATTGCATTAGCCTGGAACCGTTGAACTAGAAATAGCGCTCGCTGTGGCTCTAATTGAAGCTATGTTTGAAATAAATACCAAAGGCTCGAGGGAAATATCCTGGTGTCAAACAACAGAATCGCAGCCTGCAGTCAATGCTGTGTTTGATCCTTTAATTCACATTGCCTCACACGGCGTCGCTCCCGCCAATCCCTTTCAAACGGTGGAAATTCAGCTTCGCCGAGCCACCAAGGAGGCAAATAAAGTTAATTCTTTCTTTGACACAAATGGAAAAGCCCATTTAAGACAAGCTGCTGATGACAAGCTAAAGAAACTGCGTTTTTGGGTCACCTGCGTGACGTCAGTCATGGATTTAAGACAAGCTGCTGATGTCAAGATAAAGAAACTGTGGTTTTGGGTCACCTGCGTGACGTCAGTCATGGATTTAAGACAAGCTGCTGATGTCAAGCTAAAGAAACTGCGGTTTTGGGTCATGGATTAAAGGTTGAGACTGCATTCTCCAGGGGGATGGATGTCGCTACAGCAGTTGTAGCCCGCAGCGATACCTGTGCTAACGATTCCAACATTCAAGACCTCTTGCTGTAGAGGAAACCACGACCGCCACAAAAAGGTGGCCTCCCCTACGGCGACAAGCGTGTATTTCGTAGGAACGAGAGGGTTTTTAAGCGCTCCCCGCGTGTGTGTCCCCCTCTAAACAAAGCGGTGCTGACTCGCCTTCGAACCCCCCCCCCCCCCCCAAGGGGAAATTTCACCGGGATTAAATTACGATTGCAGTATATAAAATGCGATTTTA